CAGGGGAGCCCAGCTGAATCCCAGCTCAGGGACAGGATACTTACCTGTACCCCTTCTCTTCCTCTATGGGGTTACCATGGAGTGTCAAGCTTCGAAGCCGAGGAAGGACAGCTAACTTATTCACTTCTCCCAGGCTCTGGATACTGTTTCCATGAAGATAGAGAACACTCAGATTGAAGAATGTTGTTAGGATCTGTTAGGGAGGAAACCGAAAGACAGGCTGGCAAGACCCTGGATTTCTGCTCAGGACTAACTTGCTGGCAAAAAAAGGAAGAGTTTGGGGAACAACTTGCCCTCTATTCCAATCCTTATAGCTATACTGGAGGATTCTAACCTACTTTAATTTACTTTAAGGGCTAGAGGGATATCACATTGAAATAGAACTGTGATTTCAGGAAAGAAGGTATGGGGACCTTCTGTCTTGGACAGGAGGTATAGGCCCCTAGTCCCATCACTGCTACTGTCTGGCTAGGTGATGGCTCTCCTGCTGGTCCCTGAGCCTTACTTGCTGCTTCACTAAAGACCTTCCCACTTGAGGTGAACTAAAAGTCTTATCACAGCAAGGAACCAGAGTACAGAGTATCATGCTAGGTACATAAGAGAAACTTTTAAGATATTAGTTAAATTAAGATCACTATATCAGGGCTACAGTCTCCCCATTTCTTAAAACATGAACCAGAAGTTGCAAAAAGTAAGTGTTGTACTTTTCTATCTACCTCATTCATAGCAGAACTCAGCATGAGACATAGTAGGTACCCAGTAATGACACCTACAATTTTGCTTCAGCTATCCATGTCCACTTGGTTCTTGTATCTTTTCATTTAATCCTTATAAACCCTTTATGATGCTGGCATATTATCCTGATTTTTCAGACAGGAAGGTTGAGGTTTTAAGAGGTTACGTGGCTTGCCCAAAGTCACAGTTAAGAGGCAAAGCCAAGGTTGGAATCTGCATCTGTGTGACCTTAAAGCCATGTGCTTTATACTACACCATGCTGCTTGTTTAACTTCCTTCATAAGATGGTAGAGAGGCTGGGGGATGGACAGTGGCCTTACCCTACCTGCCTCTCCATTCTCACCCCTGACTGAACTCCTACAGCTAGAAACTCACAGGGTCAATGGAAGTCAGGTCATTGAAAGACAAGTCGATCCAGGCCAGGTTCTCTGGGTGCTCCAGGATCTGTGAAGCCACCTGGGTGAAGTCTTTCAGGTCATTGAGGACATTGTTGTTCAGCCACAGGGACTGGGTCAATGGCTTTCCTGACTTTGAATGCTTCAGTGGTCGGAGCCCTACCCTTGGCTCCTCGCTTATCAGATCTGTGATAAAAAAGTATGGCTTGGGTATATCATCTTTGCTTTTCTGGMAGGAACAAATCTGTCAAGATGAGCATCCCCAGATATAACCGAAGGGCTAACAGGCCATAGCACTATGCTTGAGTGCTTGGATTTCCTGTCTCCCCTTCTGTTGTCTCCCAGGGGAGCCCAGCTGAATCCCAGCTCAGGGACAGGATACTTACCTGTACCCCTTCTCTTCCTCTA